TATAATACACACACACACACACACACACACACACACACACATATATATATATATATATATATATTATTGTTACTATTTACAATTAATTCTGAAATTTAGTAATTTCCTTAAAACATAGAACAGTAAGTAAAGAAACATAGAAAACAACGATCTCTACTACTTGTGATTGTCAGGAAGTTTGTACTCACTTGTTGTACCTTGAATGCTAAGCCTTGCCAAATTTCACATGTGGAGGATGTAAAACAAAATAACTTTGTTTCATATATGCATTTTGAAATAACAAAAAATTATAAATTACTCCACCAGTATCACAGAATTCCACTGTAATTTATCAGACTTACTAACTAAGCTTTATTTTTATCTAAAAAATATTGTTTTTCGAACACCATTTTCTCTTACCCATTCATTCTGAGAGTAGAAACAGAAAGATTATTCTTGAGAAACAGACACCTTAAATAGTCTGAGAAAACCACATGGAGAGAATTCTGAGATTTTGATTTGTTATTTTCACATGACAGAGCAAAGTGGGTGTACATAAGCAAGTATTTCCAAAAGTGGAAGATGTGGGCAGGGCCACTGTGTTTGATTTGCTAAATATAGTCATATCTCAGTAAATAGAAAAGATAGGAGGCTTTTATTTTATATTTATCAATATTGGTAATTTTCTAATTTGTAAGAAGCTATAGACTTGGTATTTGGACATCACAAACATCTAATTTGAACCAAAGCTGCATTCAACATACCATGTGACACACAAAAATCGATATTTAGGAATTTTGTTTTAATATTTACTTTTAAATTAAGAAATTAACTAATGTATAATACTAAAATTTGAATTATAATATACAATTTGATACCAAATTTATTGATATGGATTCATAAAATAGTAGTTCAATAAAATTTGGAATGTAAGTCTCCAAACGTAGTGGCATGCCCTTTGATTCCTAACCATAGGAAAACCTGTAGTGATAGGGTTAATCAGCATCTTTGTGTTTTCTGGAATTTGTTTTGTTAATACTCCACTTCTTCATTCAATGTAAGAGTTTTCACAGATGCTGGGTACTTGTATTTTGGAAGATTAACTAGTCACCTTGCTGTGATGTGAAGATACTTGAAAGTTTTAGTTGTCTTTAAACATGCTCTTATGTTAAATTTTTCATACAATTTTCTTGCTCTTCTTAACTTAAGATTGAGTAGAGAATTGATACCATATCTGGATTTAGGTTTGTACTCGGTGCCTGTTTATTATTGATTAGTTTGTTGTTGAGTTTGAAAGGTACCCATCGAGTTGAAATGCCATTCAGTGTGTTGAATTTTTATTACTATGTAAAGTTAATATTTTCAATGATGTTCTATGCCAGAGTGTAATACTTTTATGATACATTGAATTTATGCTTATAGTGCTCTGATTAATAAAGGTAGATCCATTGCAACATTTTATTTGGTATGACAAGTTTATCAACTCTTAAGTAACTAATTGTATTCAGATGGATTTATGCTGAATGTTGGTAAATACAAAATGATCCTCTTGTAAAATTAGGATAGAAAATTATGAAGAACACTTGTGCATTCAATATAACCCTCTTGTAAAACTGAAATGTTTTTGCTTTCAATGACTTTTGCAAATTTTCAGGAAAAAAAAGGTTATGTAATGTCATTTTGTAACATTTATTTGGTGAAATTCACAAAGGAAAATGAAAATAATGTTTAAACTTGCATTTCTGCACATTTTGTAGGAGTTTCACCTGTAAACAACACACTTGTCAATTTTTTAGAATTTTCTATCCATTTCAGAGTTAATTATCTCCTTATATTTGGTAAGAAACATCCTTTGAGAATATAATTATCAATGTTTTGTTTCACACATGATTCTCCTTTTCAGTCACTGATGTTATTAGTTCAGACTTTCATTCCCACCCTTTTATCATCTTTCGCCGTGTGATCTGAAGAACTATTAATAAAGCTCAGCTTTGAAAACATGTACAGATAAAGTTTAAATATAATTGGCTAGAACATATTATAAGCTATTTATGTGAATAAAGTGGAATAAAAAATAATTAATGGTTTCATGGGAAAGTGACAAGATTTGGTTCTTGTAAGGATGAACAATGGAATCTAATGAGAAGTTTAGAAGACTTAAGAACAAATCACAGATCTGAAAAAAAATTTTTAGTATCTTTGGATGTTATTTACATTCTTGAAAATGTTTTTATGTTAAATTATATTTGTTTGAAAGCTATGGAAATTGTCTTTTATAAGACATTGGCTAAGCATAGTTAGGTTTAGTGAATACAGTGGACATTGGCAACAAAATATTCTGGTGACTTGAATCCTTATTTATTGAGTATTATTGTTAAGTTTATTTTATTCAATCAAAGCACATAAATAAAATAATGTATTATTTATTGAAAGAAATTAAACTTACTAGATATAAATTAACCTCAACCAGTAATATCCTTAGCGTAAATATTATGAAATATTTTGTGATTGGAAGTAGTGAAGTTGAAACTGACTATACATAAAATGAAAATTTCCAATCAACATTAAGTAAAGAATTTCTAAAATCAAATGTTTTCTTTTTCAAAACAATGTCTCACAACATAATTTTGAACATTTCACAATAGGAATAATGACAAGAAAACAATCAAATTATATAAATTGTTTTAAGCTGAAACTAGATACTATTTAGTATATTTGTTTAAAGTTCCTTGCAATTTGGTAGAGCAAGAAGGAAAGAAATTAATAACACCCCTTTGATCTGAAAAGGGTTGAATGAATTCTAAACAGTAAAAAAACATTCGAAAAATATAAATTTTCATGTATTTTGTTTAAAAACTCAAAATAAATTATGAAAATTATAGCTAAATTGAAACCAATTGGAAAATTTGACTGTGTTGTAACAAATTCTTTATTCTACACTAAGAATAACAGAAATGTTAATACTGAAAGACAAAACAAGTATTTGAACTTCTGAAAGTAAAACAAACTTGTAATTCAAAAATGCCAGGCTTGGACTTTTACAGACATCACATCCAAGCTTCACAAAATTTGTAACTCACTAATATAATTTTGACGCAACTTCAAAACTAATTCAACAATATAACCTTAGCACAAGAAGTTAGAAGCATTTTAGTGAAACGTTGATCTAATTATTCTGCTATTTCCCTCTGGGTCTAGTTTAATGACAAAATGGAATATATTAAATGTTGTACAAGTTATAGGAATTCTTGCACAATACTGTACATTTTTGAAGGTTAATTCAAAATGGCATTTATTTAAAGATTTGTGAATAAAATGTTGGTGTAAGCACGTTCTTTTTTATTAACAAGGATTCTTAGAGTATCAAAGCTCAACTTTTGTTTTTTTTTAACCTCATAGATTGGAGACAAAGTAGGGCTTACCAGTGCACAGATTGGAGTCCTTGAGTTACAGAATATTTTAGGTGTTCATAATCACTTAGAAGACAAGAATACACATGAAAATATATATGAGAACACATCAGGTAAGAATCAAATTTTTTTTCTTTGGTTATAGATCTGACAAAAAGTAGATAGTGCTCCATAATGCAGGGTTCTTATGAGTGCTTGCAAATCTGGAAAGTCCTGCAAAATTGAGTTCTGGAAGAAAACTGTCATTTTATTATAGGGTCATGGAAAGTAATATTTTTTTTTAATTGGGTACTTTTTTCTTAATAAAATTTACTTGTTGCATTCCCCATTTTTAAGCCCTTTGCCCCCACAAGTTAACTGCATATAACTTGGTTAACTGTTTGTGATTTTGGATTGGCTCATCACCAATTTGTCAGTGAAGCATATTCTTGTGTGAATTCTGTGCTAGCCAGAACCGGCAGGTGAAGTTGTGGTTGCCACTTAGTAATGGTTTAGTTAGCTGTAAGTTTGTGCTGTTCTCAAAATGTTTCAAATTCACTCAAAAATACCAGCAAGTACTATTTTAATGATGGAAGGCCAGTGGTCCTATTTATGCAGAAATCTATTGTATACATGGGAAATTTCAATAAAACACAGAAATAGAGCACTTTGTTTATAAAACACAGATGTAACAAGACTTCCTGGTTTACATTACAAGTGTTTGTTTACTTAATGCAACGTGAACACATTCCAATCATTCTCTTGAAAAAAAAAAAACACCCCAGATGGGATATATATCCAAAAGCCATAGGAATGACAGCCATCACCAAACATTCACCCTTTCAGCTGTAGAGATGTTATGATATAGTGGTCAATCCCACTATTAGTTGATCGGCATTTCAAAATTGGATCTGGTGGCAGATAGCCTTAGTAACTTTGCCATAAACAAATTTTCTAGTTTTATTTTTATTCACTCCTTAAAGGTTTTCAAATTTTGTTAGATAGTTATAATTATCAAAAGTTTTAATGAAATATATTGATGTTATTCTAATTTAATGTATCTGACTTTAAATTTAGGTTACTCATGGAATAACATCATTAAAAGACAACAAGCAACTTTTGGTTCATCTAGACTGTCCTATCCACTAAATTAAGCTAATTCCTTAGGATGTACTCCTCAGATCTAGCCCTTTTCATCTAAATAGTTATCTTGCTTTCCCTAATTTAACTACATCCACTACATCCAAAGACAACCTGTTCTAGAAGCCAGCCACTCTGTTAGAAAAAATATAGCTGTCTTATCTGAATATATGGAGTCAAAGTGTTGACTGCTCAAAGTGCAAAGCTATTTTCATGTTGAGATTAAAAATACTTTTAGATTAAAACTTTACCTTTCTATTGGTTATAATCCAATATAAAATGTCAGAATTATTGGCAATTTGTGAAAGAGAGGATGTGACAGTTGGGCATGGAAAGTGAGTCTGATTTTATATTTTATGACCTCGTAAACAAATAAGATTGAAGGCTTTAAAAATTGGACATTTTTATCCTTACACTTCATAGAGGAGTGGTAAATAAATTATAGAAGGGGAAGACCTAGAGAACAAATGTCACAATTCTCGTACTAGGGATATTGAGGATTTTGTTTTATATTTCATTATAAAACTTAAAACTTGCATAATATTAAATTTTGATTTATTAACTATATTTTGTTACCAAATTTATTCTTATGCATTGATAATAAAGTAGTTTAATTAAGTATTTAGTATAACTAAAAGATCATGACGTGCATTTTGACTGCCTATAGCAAGAGGATTAATGTGTTTCTTCAGCCCGTAACTTTCTTTTTATGTTAATACATCCTTGTTTAACTGACATTAAAACAAGTTTCCCTTGGGTGGTTTCAAAACGTTTGAGTAACTGTGTAGTTAAAAATACAGCACTTAAGGCTTCAACATTGTCATAAAGACACTTATGAACATGTAAGACAAAACTAAATTGTTTGGGGTTTTAAAAAAACATCAGCAGTTGATGACATTTTTATCACAAATTTGAGGCCTATTTGAATAATACATATGGAATAGTATACACAGTATTTTTGCAATAGATGAATGATAAGTGGATCCATGTTTCAAAGTATACCACAAAAAATGTTGCCGTATTTCATTATGCGATGTCTTGATAAATAAATGTTTCAGTTGATTTTTTGTCTTTGGATCAAATAATATTTTCACAAATTATATCTTAATAAATATCTAGATGCACATGTGCATTTTAAATAAGAAACTGTCAAAATTACGTTTTTCATTTATTGTTATTATTATTTAAATTGCACTAAAACTTATCAGCACCTGCCATAGATGATGCCAAGCATTGCAGTAGTTAACTTGTTAAAAAATATGTTTATATAGAGATAGATAGCATACCTGGGTAGCCTATTTCTTTTAGTTATCTGTAGATACATAAAATATTACAGCAGGTAAGTTAGTTTTGTGTGTAAGTGAATAACAAATAGAATGTCAAACTTATCTATTGGTCATCAAAATATTTCTTTTTCTATGTATGGGTAGTAATGTATTCTTTTTTTTTAATTTTAATTACAGGGCTTCTTTTCATGCATTAACTTTTTATTAGAATAATTTATTTTCATAATATTTTTTTCATGTTCACAGCAAAGACAAGAGTTTGTAGTGTTAGCATAGAAAATGTGGATCTTCTAACATCTGATGAGGTAAATGAGAGTTCTTAATACTATTGTAAACATATAACAATTATCTAAATATTTCAAAGTGTTTGTGTAGCAGGTTTTATAAAGATAACACTGAGTAAATATTTTCTTGTCCATGATGTCATCTTTGTTGAAATAATATTAAAATTGTCGGAAACGCCTAGGACATAGGATATAGTTTAATATAATAACTTATTTGTTTACTAAACTTAGATTAAAAACTTTCTTTTTTTCTTATAAAAATAATTCTAGAAATTTTGAAATTTCATAGTATTTTAGGTAACTTTAATTGGTATACATCTTTTTTATAAATAGTTGAATGAAAATTGTTTTGTTAAGTTTATTTAATTCAGCACCTCAGTAACTTGTGTAGGATATGATTCCTTAGCTAAATTTTAAAATAAGATATTTTTGGAATATTTTTGCTTTTATTTTGTTACTTTTCTCTTCATAATATCAGCTTTATTTGAACACATACATTGGTCTTAAGGCGCTTGGTACTATTACAAGACAATGACAATGCATTATTAACAATTTACACAATAAGTTTTTTTTTCAAGCTTATGTCGCAAGGGTGTTACTTGTGTAAAAACAAATTGGATTTATTCAGGTAGATTGATATATTATTGATGAGATTAGATTTTATATAAAATGTTCCACCAATTCACATCCTTTTACAACTAAAAACAAAATGGCCCTCCACACTTTTCGACCATAGGTGCATTATAAGAACGATAGTAAAATTTACTGTTTGATTAGAGTAGTCCATGAATTGGTGGTTGGTGAGGTTGACAAGATAATTTCCCTCTGGTTTATCACTTCAGAACTAGAGACGGCTACTGCAAAATGCCTTTGAGTAGTTTTGCACAAAATTTAACAACAAACAAATCATTGCATATGGAAATCTTGTTTAAGTAATTTGTATATCAAATACAGAAGCAAAACTTGAAATCTTCTGGCTCTAAATGAATCAACTATCATACAAATGACAATTTAAAATAATACAAAAACTATATATTTATACACATACACACACTGATGTGAAGTTTTCATTCTAGATTTCTTGGTTTAATGATACTCTGATTTGGAGTTGTAATGAATATTTGATATCCAT